TATGCGCGTATTTGGTTACAGGCATAAAGCAGGCGAATAAATTAATCACCCTTAACCCGATCCAGCACAGTGAAGAATCTTTTGACCAAATCCACGTTATTAGCGCACATCGTAGCACAATTCTGATGGAGACGCATATGCTTTCTGAGGTAAAGAAAATTGGTGTGCATTATTGACATTAAGTTCTATGCCTTTACCGTAATACGCACTGGTCGGGATCGCTGATGTATACAAAGACATTACTCAACTTTCCAACTGGAAATCATATATTATTAAATTGTCAATAAAACACGTATCGGTACATCATTCAGTCCAGGAAGTTAAAAGTTGCAGAGTTCAAATTATGCTTGCGAAGTCAGATGCAGGCAGGAGCGCTTTATTAGCGTAAAAGCCGATGCGGAATCCAATAGATCAAGATATGATTCTGCGAAATCGTTCGGATACGAAATAGATACTGCACAAAGTCAGGCCTAGTTAAATTGTGCAGAGCTCGAATCCGCAGAATATGGGTGCCGTGATACGTATGCTTTGGTACTTGTCTAAAGAAAAGTTTTGACGAAGATCGTATTCTTCAAACAATATGTCAGGCTTAAAAATGGCATCATTTCGAAGGTTTCTGAAATTAAAATTGGTTTTTTTCACCATTTAGGCTATCTTCAACCACAGTTTTTACAAGGTAATGTAAATCATCCAATCCTGGGTTGTACGGCAAATCGTTGCTTCTCCGCCTACAAGTCAAATCTTCTATTTGTGATTTCATACGTAAAGTTTCTTTGAACTCGATGTCCACGCTATCGGTACCTAGCACACTGCAGACCAATATCTCACCCTATAAATAATTTCAGTCATCTTAGCTAAAGCATCTGGTCTACGAAAATGTTAAGGCTCTCCTGTTTGTGGACGTGACTGAATACGCCACCTTCTTTAATAGAAAAGCGTCATTATCTACGAACTCTTGCGTCTTATGCTTGCGACTCGGCACCTTTGTGGATGCGGTGATTGCCAACAACCTGAGTTAGCGTCAGCAGTGTTAATTCTCATCAATTTTATTTTAACTTTTTGGCACAGCTCGACACGATATTAAGAAAGTTATTCTATAGCAACTATTGTTAATTGCGCAAGTGCTGTGCAGCTGACCAAACTTTGATGACATTTCATTTATTTTACGATAGCTTACTGTACTCGGTGTTTTTTAATTCTAATTAATTAATGATATAGTGTGATGATCCAAGCCAGTATGTATGGATGTAAGGCTACCGGAAGCACGGGGGTGAGAATAGTAAAGTGTTGTTACTATAACTATTCCCTCATTAATTGCCTCAGCAAGGATTGTACATTACAGATACATCCGTTTTCTGTGAGGTTTATTGAAAATGGCCCTGAGTAGAAAATGGTATCAACACGGACCCGACATGCGGCGATTCGGTGTGGAACCAGAATTACAAAAAAAAGCAATCCCGAAGCAACTAATTTGAAGTATATTGACTAAGATAATATCGATCTGTCTGATCATTGTGTCTACTTTTACTTCCTACACTTCTATGGTAAAAATATTCGAGCACCTTTAACATTTACAAAAGCTCAGCTTGTACTGATCGTTTTTCAATGCTGTTTTAATGTGTTTAATCTATTGAAGAGCGCCAACCTTTTTATGGCTATGGCGAAGGTTTTGCCATGCTGGAGGGGGGCCCTCACACAAAAGATAAATATGGGTGAACAAAAATTGCTGAACAAAGGACGCTTACTATATTCTATATTAATAGAGTGATCGTCAAATATAATTGATGGTCTGGTCACTTTACCGCTGGTTTCCAGTCATAAAATGGCGCTGTACAACCAAGTCACACTTGAAGAGTCATGTCGCATCAAGGGGCAACGTGAGGAAGTCTCACGTACATCTAGATCAAGTACTACGTGGGGTGACCATACTACACCATCTCAAGCAATCTTGCAAAAAAAACCACGAAGTCCAAGAATCCATTCGGTCGTCCTTTAAAGCTCTACGAGCGCTACACACTATGTTTCGTCCGCGCAGCCGCCAAGGGCCAAGCCAACTCCACCAAGATGAAGGCCGACCTCGAGCTGACGTGCAGCGCCCGCTAACTACTGTCTAACTGCGACATTTTGCAGGACTTCGAGATGGAGAAGACGCTTCCGCTTGCTGCAACACACAAGGCCAAGCGACTAAAATGGTTTTAAGAAGATGATATCCCGACGTTACTTAAGTTTTTGGTTTTTTCAGACAGGAAAAGTTCAAGTTTGACGGCCCGGACGGCTTTCGCTTCTACTAGCGCGATCTTTGTCGTCCAGCGCAGCAGGCCGTCCGGCACCAACAAGGAGGCCGTATCGTCATGGTTTGAGGGGGGGTTGTTAGTTGATAGGGGAAGAGCGAGGGGAAGTGCGAGGGGAAGAGCGAGCTGGATTTTTTTTTGCAGCCAACCCTCTTCCTGACAAAATCTACACCATTGAAAGAGTATTTACTCCCCTTGGCTCACCTAAAGTATGGCACAGAATTATTCTTCAGAAAGACAACGGTCCTATCTTCACTTCTCGTAAGACGAAGGACCAATTTATGAACGTCGACCCCATCTAAGAGACTCCGTCTGTTAGATGGGATTGGGGTCATAAAGTGGCCATCCCGATCCTCTGGCCTCAATACCGTCGTGAATGTGTAGTCCGTTATGTTTGTAGTGTTTGTGCCAATGGCAAATAGTACGATACACGCGTTTAACTTCAATAGGACGTCTTAGATGCCTGGGGTTCGATCACACTGGACGAGATTCGAGCTACGATCGGCTACATGACTCCGTGCTATGTGGAGACGATGAAGAATTAAGGTGACAAAACTGACTACTAACCTTCGCTCACCTCAATAATATCACTTTGTTAACACATAATTTCGTAGGCATTGGTTGTTCAGTAATACCGTCCAAGCTGTATTTTTTGAATTCCATGGGAGCCCCCCTACAGCGTGGAATACATACACAGCAGCCAGCACCATGCGTAGTGCCTGTCGATATGCTAAACTTATTAAAACAGTGTCTAAAATGACCAGTAGAAGCCGAGATATAGTAAGTTTTAGGGGACCTCGGATAATTTTGACCTTGAGTGTATACCTTAGCCTTGTACATCATAATGTGCTGAAGCACGGCGACACCAATAAGAGTAGCTCTTCATATTCATCGGCTTCATATGGTTGATCTAACTGAAGTAAAAATTTCAGAGATCTAATTGACACTGTAGTAATTTGTTGCTTAAGTAAACGCTAGTTATAATTATAATGCCGAATTTCTGGCAGCCCTTATTCTCTTTTTCATTGCAGTTGTTTTTCTTTTTAGCTTCCTCGAGCGGTCTGTAGTCAGAGTGAGTTTAGGCTGTGGAAACCGTTAATTTTGTATAAATTAAAAGTTTTGAATTGAAGAGTCGATAATAAAGAGAACCGAATGGGTTTAAGACTCAGAAAATCAACTAGTTCTAAGAGCAGCAAATGAATCAGAGAATCAACAACACAGTCGCGCAGGACCAAAGATCTCTCCGAAGCTTCCGTTCTTTTTCTATAGAACGTGAGCTAAGTTTTTGAACTGGAAAGTTCAATCTCCTTGTACCTAAAAAACAGCCTAAGCGGTTTTACCTGCCAACGCGTGAACCAGTTTTACAGTCAAATTATACGACTGTGTAACACAAGTATCTGGACTAAATGAATCGCAATACACCACCACGCTTTTTGAGTATAAATGGACTGAAAAGTAAATCATCCTTTTATCAGCTTAATCGACGATGCAATATCGCAGACACTAGCGCGTGGAAACGAAGTGTCTCCGCAGTCATCTTATTAAATTAACTTGCTGCGTCCGCAACTGCAAGGTGTATAACGAAAAAGTATAAATGGGGAGATTTTTTAGCATGTGTAATCGAGAAATATTGGTGGATGACCACCCTATATGCTGCTCATGCCTGCACAATGGACGCGATCAGGACTTATACGGAATGACGCGCAAATATGGACCGCTAGCTTTCAATTGTGGCATATGAACGAACGGATGCGATTAACGTAGTGCGCTATTGAGAACCAATAGGCGCAAGTAATGCTTAATGGGTCAGATGCGTTAGAACAACGCAGTGCAGAAAGCAGCAGTCTGATGTGAAGCATCGTCGTCAGTCTAAACTAGACAAAATACTGTTTAGCATTGCACAAGGTAAGTCGCTGCGTTTTTTGCCTCAAGTCAGCGCGTAAACAAAGCTCAATATGGCCCTGGATTCAGACACAGTTCGGCATAGTACAACTTATCGGTCGAGATATGTGGGGTGAGGAAACACTCGTGAAGATCAATGTAGCCCTCCCTGCTTTCGTATTCTATTCAAACACAACTTTTCTCATAATGACTCTCGAATATCAAATGTCCAAACCATTTTTGATCAATAGAAATGAGGCAAGATGAGGGTATAGGGTAATCCGTATAACAATTAGAGCAGTTCATGGCCTTTTGGCTACTATTACGTTCGTACAAGCGACAGTCATGCATGTGCCCTAGCTGTAGCTCATGCGAACCAAACGGGGCATACTAATACGAGCAAAGCAAAATGTCGCGCTTGTGGTAGCTAAATTGGGTATCATTTTGCTGCAAAAAGATCTGTCTTGTGTACGTAATATGCCGTCGTATCACAAGTCTCGACATAATTGACACGCTATTGCTTAGATTCTTTCCCGGTAAATTGTCAGTGTACGCAGTGCATACTACACTTAAGGCTTCGCGAAGTGCTCTTTGTATCGTAAAAACGAAACGATCCGACTATTAGACAATCGTGATTCCGATGCACTCCGCATGTATTCTGCTAGAAAGCTAAAAATACATTCGCGACAAGGCGCAACTTTTTCCGGAAACACGTTTGGCTTCAAAAAGGCCCACGACGCTTTGACATTCTTGTCAAACATCATGATCTATGTTCAACAGCATTAAATTCGCATTGTTAATGGCTATTTCCGAGCTACTCGAGCGGAACTACAACCATTTCTTGTAAAACTTGAAGTACGTGACCGTTCCAGTAGCGATGGTCGATACAACGCCCCACCAGATCATGTACCCATACTCGCACTGTAGTTCAGGCATGTTGACGAAATTCATACCATATAATCCAGTCAGAAATTGAGCCGGCAGGAACACTGTAGCCACGAGAGTTAGCGTGTAGCTCACTTCACTTTGCTGGGAATGCCGCGCATTGTGGCAGTCGTCGACTAGACTACGGCACCGGTCCAGAAGGTGGTCACAAGTCTCGTCAATGACCATAACATGGTCCTGTACGTCTCGGAAATACCGCAGTGTCTCGCCTTCAAAATCGTTTGACTTCATGAGTTGTGTCGTCATTTCGCGCAAAGGCTTACACAACAGTTTGAGCCCCTTGATTTCTTTCGAGCACTTGGCCAGACGATCGGCGTCGAAGTTGCGTGGGTCGTGACGTAGAAGGCGGGACAGCATTGCCACCTTGGCTCCATACGTGTGTGCTATGGGAGACAATTCGTCAACACACACGTCCACGATCGAGTACACTAGAAATGTAGTGCCACTTTGCCGAACCTTGGAGTACGACATGTCTAACCGCCGTTTCAGCGTTCGCCACAACATACTTGTGGATTTTTGTACGCTAATGACAACGTTTTTCGTGACGTACACACTCAGTTGTTCAGGCGGAGCCATGATACGCCCCATCGCTAATTCATCAAGTCTCCCTTCGAGCTCAGCTTTGCTCATGCTTTCAAACGGAGATACATCATTATCGCGAACATACAACGAGGCGCGATACATCCGTTGATACTCTGACGCCTTTTTTAAATCACGTGCATGCACCGTCTGCAAGACCAGCAACGAGTGCTCATCATAATGTTCATACTTGGGCCGTTCAAGATCAGCATCCAGCGTATCCTCCACCGCGAGCGGATGTAGCCGATAACGCACAGCCAGTCTCCGCATCATTAATGGGTCCGTTCCCTCTAGATTGATCCAACGCACGCTTGCCCAATCTGGCCGTTTCGAGTACATGAACTTTTCAAGATCTTCGATCGGGTACGCACTACGCACTCGATCGGGTGAGTACTCAATTGAGCCCAGTTTGGCATAAGGAGCTGCAGTGCCGTACGCTCGAGCGTACTTTACGGTTAGAGCCTTGACATACTCGGGGCTAAAAAGCTGTGCCAACTTAATTTCCTGGATCGCGTACAAGAACTCGTCGTAAGAAATTCCTCCATTCTTGTTTTCATCTATTTGGGCGATGAAGGCATCAAACTCGTCGTCCCGATCGCACGAGATCCCCATAGCTTCCAGACCTCGTCGAAATCCGTCGTATGACACCCTTCCCTGGTCTACACAAACATCGCAGTAGTCGAATAAGCAACTTTGTTTCTCCCCCTGAATAAAGTCCTGATGCAAATACATTAACATGAATTCGTTTCGACGTCTTTGTTTGTCAACTACCGTTTGGTTCAAAGCGAGCAAAGAGTTTCGTGAGTTTGGCAGTAGTGAGGTCATAGTGCGGATCCGTGAGATCTAAGGGGTCCGTCTCGTCTGCAGCCCCAGGACCTTCCAACCAGTCGAGAGGATGCAGATCTCGAGCTCTGGACACGAGACGCAATAGATTCGTATCTTGTACAGTGGATGGTGATGTTTTAAGCGCTGAAGAAGCGGGTAAGCGATTATCTGAAGGAAGCGACCCGTGGGAAGAGGGACGTCGACCATTGGGACTAGCGGAGCGAAGGAAGGCACTTGAGAGACATGAAACACGGACGGAAGAGGTACTGAAAATGGAAGAGCGCGCGCTGGTGCGGCGTAGCAAAGGCAGCATCTGCCACAGCCGTTGCAGCCTGCACCTGTTGATGACGGGTACGTTTTCTAGTGCAAAGGTTGCAAGCTAGAAATGGTGTTGCTGTTTAGGTTAAATGATGTTGCTGAAGGTGGACGGGGAACGCTTAAGTTGCTGGCGACTTTTTAGATTCTTCGAGTAATCGTGGACCTAGAATAGTAGAGCACTGCAAAAATAATCAGAAATTAAAAGAAACATTCTTACAAGATGGAATTGTTGTATTCCGCAAAATATTAAAATCTAAACTCGCACCTCACACGAAGGAATATTTGGCAAGTTGCTGAACGGCAGGGATCGTTTTTATTCAGCTGATTCTTCTTTTTAATCTCACGAGTTAATCGGAAGTACGCCCAATGTCGTCAACAGCAGATCCCACTTACTCAATTTACGTTCAATGTTTACTCACGTGCTCGCTCAAAGCATGTACTGACGACATCGGTGCGAAACAACTACTGAACCCACTCCAGTCCTTATGCTGTTAGCGTTCCATGCTGAGAAAGATGTCGCTTTTTTGACGCCATCATGCTGCAGTCAATATGTCCACCAAAAACGACTCACCCCGCGATCGGAACGCTTTAATTGGGGCAGTATCTCTTGCCTAAATATAATATTAGTGGCGCGCTCTTACATAACTTTCATACTACAATCGCTAGGACCGAGACATTTTTAACACCGTTTGAATTGCCGTGGTTGTCTCTGCTAGCAGCAAATTTGCACATAAATTAAACGCGGAGGTTAGTGATCGTAGTTAAGTCACCAATATGCAAACTTTGGTGTTTTTGATCTCGAGAAGAGCCCCCATTGGTGTCGGGAGTGAGCACACAGATAGAAGCACTAACACTTCCTCGAACAGAAGGTAATCTTGTTAGATAGCCATATCGCCAGCCAAAGTTAAGAAAATAACAGCGCTGCGGCGGGAGTGTTTTGACATTTTTGTTGCGCATGAGTCATTTGTCTCTCCTTCTGTCGCTTATGTCCGTCCTAGCTAATTTCTGCAGCCAAAGCTGACAGAAGCTGATTAACAAACAGGCTCTAAGTCGTTAGCCGTTATTTCTGCTGCACTGGCATGCCTCTCCAAACATTTCGTATTAAGTGTAAAGCGACTATTTAACACAATAGAAATGCACTTTCTGACAAATTGTACATCGTAGCTGAAACGCGAGCGCTTTCACGAGAAACCCCATTTGGCGAGATGATCACCAAACGTCAATTATGCAACAACTGGTAATTCGACGAAATTCAACAATTATGCTTTTTAATCGACGATTATTTACCCCACACCTAAAAATGACCCAGCCATATAAAAAAAAGAGCCCAGCCGTTTAGAATTTGCCAAATTTAAATTCTGAATACACAAACTAATGCACTGCACATCGGATGGTAAAATTAAATTGGATTGATATAAATATACCTTTGCCCTAATTTCGCATCCTTCCTGTCACCCCCAATTTTCGCAAGCACCCACTTTTTTCGAATTTCTCCTTTGTAAATATATTTGAAGGCAATTAATGCTTACACACGTTCAAATCAGACACAATAATTATGCTGACATTCATTATATCGTGATTTGGCCGCGTCTAGTTCGGGAGGCATCGAAATATCACGCAATTATCAGGTACGATTTTTTTCTCACACACAACCTTTTTCACATCGTTAGTAGATACCGTAAGTGACCTTGACCGTGCGCCCTGCTGCGCTGTCTCACTGCATTTTTCTGAAATGTAACAACGAGTAAATAGTTGCGAACTTCAGTTGCAATTACAGAATAATTAATGGAGAAAAAAGACGCCGTGTACGATGGTAGAATTGTAATATAGCATTTAGCTTTAGATACCCGCTCCGCAATGACCTCCATAACTGTCTTGTATGACCTCCTCATTGTCAACGCTTACAACAAAATCCATACGGCCGATTAATACACTCCTACGTAAATACATTTACGTAAAATGGCCAATTAGGACGGAGTCAACCTCATCGGGTCCCCGTCCAGTGCACTCTTTTGTGCTGTAAGCGACACTGATTATTGGAATGGAGTGATACAAGGGAGGGTAAATGAATATAAAGTATAGGATATTGTTGTTTGTAAAAAGTAAATAAATGCAGGAAATGGAGCTGTGAAAATCTGGTTTAAAAAGGGTGTATGAATATCTGGTTCAATAAAAGGTTTAAGAATATCGAGTTCGGTAGGAAGGGTCTGAAATCAGGAAATAGGGATGTATTTATAAGAATCCCCTAATTCACTTTCTGCATGTGTTCGTTTGTGAAAAATTTTAAGAACAAGCAACTTTGCTTTATGATACAAGTGGTTAGCCACACGATCAGTGGATAGCCTACAAGATTGTGAACCGCCTCCAGAAACATTATCGGCTTAAGCAAACCTCTCTATATCTAAAATACAGCAGCCGGTTCGCGATTTCGCTAAATTTTTAACGCCACGGACCCTTCCTTGGAAACCTACATCTCAAATCACATAATGAGTGACAGTAGTTAGCCTCCCTCTTATACTCTTCTAGCTGAAACCCATGGCAACTTAAAGCTGGCAAAGGAACCTGCTCATGCGCATGCACGGTAATTATTTTTGCGATTGCTGTGCTATGGTCGGCTACATGGGATCATCCTTCAGCTAAAAGAAAGGTACGGATTCGCTGTGGGCAGGAAGGACACCATCTCACCCGATCATTTGTAAACTAGCTTTCAAACTGAGGTCAGCAAAATGAGTAAACTTTGCTTACGTGCTTCTTCATTTTCTTTTGTAGGATAAAAAATGGACCATAAATACATGACATCACTTGTACAACCATGCCGTTCTCTCACCGGCTTAATGAGTTTTACTAAGTAGGGATAGGTGAAATCGCGATCAACAGCGGCACTTCTTTGACGAATATTGAACCAATCTTGTTGTGGCCCTATCCAGGCTCCATAAATCGTGTAAACTGTTTTACCGCCATTCAAATGGATGCTATATTTTCGTTAAGCAGGAGCTAATTATGTCGTGATTGCTGATATTCTTGTAGGAATGCGACCCTTGACGCTCATACAAGTATACTTTGTGCGGCTAGTGTAGAAACTCTTTAAGTTAGATCAGTTTTGATATCTATTATTATCATGAATTATTTCTATCTAAGCAGACTACTACGTATTCCATGTTTTGATTGGCGGTTTGTACGCTTGTAGTCTATCCACTAATCCTTTTAAGCGAGTTGCTTGTTTTATAGGATCCACCTTCGTTCATGTTCTCCCCCAAAGAAGGCCACAGGCAGGTATACACTGAAGCGACAATGATTAGAATAGGAGAAATGACTGTAAGGTTGCCAAGTTTCTTAGCTTTTAAACAAGCAGAAACCGTTCCACAACCGTTGTTCGACTCACGCTGCAATTGATGCAAACATACACAAATGGAGGACAATGCAATACAATCAAGCGTAAACTTCTAGGCCAAGACAAGAGGAACACCCACATTTGCTACGGGCTTACCCACCTGTAAAAATAAAAGTGACTGCGAAAACTGTATTAAAACGAAGTACCAGCTAATTAAATAGGTCATATGGAGAGATTACAATGCGTAGGTTGATAAATGATAGAGCTCTGGTAATGAATGCTTCATGACCTAGCTGGTAAAGACACGTTGCTTCACAATCCACCACCTGAAGTTCTCCAAAAAAAATCCATTCTACGGAGCAGTTAACATACCAATGCCCGTCAGCTTATTTCCTGATCCAGCTGACCGCGGATTGCTTCGTATAACTATATTGTACATAAAAATGTAATGGAAATAGTATGCACAGTACAATCATAGAAGCACAGATACTGATGACACAATAAGGACTGCATGCTCAGTAATCAGACTTCAATTTGGTACGATATACTGGATCAAATCGGATCGTTGATGTCAAGTCAGGAGACTTCGTGTGACCGTCGCTGAGGTTTTGCCTGTTCTTCATGGACCTGCTGCGACCACATTCTTAATTGACCTGATGCAGACCCCTCTCGTTTTCTTTGATCCGGCGACGACGATTTAAACCCTTATATAGGCGCAAAAGTTTTAATGCTATTTTTATCTCGTTCCAAAAAGGAAAGCTGGTTCTAACGAAAGCGACAGGTGGGGGTTGGAGTTGTTTTCGCCATTATTTTCCCTTTCTCGGGCCTTGTCTCCAAAGAGTATAAAGCTAGTGCGTATATTTATGCTGTGCTTTCTGTCGTATTGTATGGGTGTGAGAGGAACCAGACACAATTGCGCGACTAAGCATTGTGCTGGAACAATGTTCCTCATCTTTTTTAGGAGGAGAACCTCCATCATTAGCCCCTCAGTCCTTGGCCAGACAACTTCAGCAATTTAATTAGGAGCATCCATAAACGACTGCACTGTACTGTAAACGTGCATTTTTTGGCGTTTGCAACGGGGTGCGTCCGTTGGATGATAATTCATATAGGGGTAATTACCAAGTATGAATATTGTGTCTGGACAAACACAATATTCTCGTAAGATTACTATAATAGATAATGTTGCCTCCCAGATGTATCACACTGCTCATTGGTTGATTGATTGTAGCAACCAATAACTTCCAGCCACGACAGAAGCGCGCTATGATCGGTGCGCAGATAGTTACGATGCATCTTGGTATTTAGACGTGGTTAAATGAAGTCAAATAGGATTCTATTAAAAGAATGAACTACACTAAATGCAGTTCTACTTTTTACATTTACTGAGTGCTCTTACTCCGTACAGTAATCATCCTCTGTACGTACGTGTACGTGATGTATTCGGACGCACACACCCTTCTACTTTCATCAGTGCACGGTTTATTCAGCTAACTGAATCACGTGTGCCCCGTTACACCTGGTATTACTTCGTAGTCTGTCCAACGACCATGAGCATGTTGAAGACGCCGGGGATGAAGTTCATCCAACACATGAACGCTACACCCACTTGAGTTAAACCGGATAAGATGCCGTCACACGTCTAAAATAGACGATATGGCAAG